GCGAAAGTCGCCAGTCAGGTACCCAGTCCTGGCGTACGGTGGACGGCCTGCTGTGAACGTTCTTCAAATGGTTTTGAACTATGATACAATTACTCATATATTGATTTTATATTAGCTCTAATCCGAAAGACGAAGGAGATGGAGGAGTGGATATCATTGCCGTTTATAATGATATCATATTCTTCATTCAATGTAAATGTTGGGAAAAAAGAGTTGATGCTGACCCTCTCATGCATTGGAGGGGGTTCTTACTAGATTTCCCAACGTTGTTGGGATTTTAGCAGCTCCCAATATTTGTAAAGGGGTTGAAGAGGAAATCAAATCGTCGAAATTTGAAATTATATTAGCAAACGAGTCTAATATAGTTTCGAAGATAATTGAATACATCCCTTCTAAGAAAAATTCAGGATTTAGCTTATTAGAGTTAAAAAAGTTCAAGATCTTAATGTCCTAGAGGTCTTGAAACCCAAATTCAGAACTTTAAAAAAACAATTACTTATTGTATTTAGTCATATGTTGTCTATAATGTCTTCAATGTCTTTACAGTCAAAGCTGGCTATAACGAACTTGGTTATAACGAAGATCTATTTATAACAAAGATTTTTCGGAACAATATAACAATAATGTGCCATTAATTGGCTATAATGAAGATCCTCATTTAAAAAAAAGTAACAGATTAATATTTAAAGTTCGCTATAAAAATTGTACCACCGTAAATAAATTCGTAAGACAGATAGATATTCATATTAATATTCGTTATAAAAATTGGTGTAACCGAAATCTCATTCGAAGCTTGATAATAATAATATTAAAAACAACATTCTCAATAATATTATGTCTAGACGCAATTGGAGTAGTACTTTGACTTTAACGTTAATAATTAGGCAATTTCCAATTGTTGCTTGCTTTAAATGTTTGTTAGGGGCATCAAATAAGAATTTAACTCGATAATTAAAAACCATTGGTTTCTAGCAATCTGGATATTATATATATATAATGAACCTAATTATCAATACTTATAATCTTCACTATAAAAAGTGACCTTCGTTATAAGGAATTTCTGGTTATAAGGATATTTTCTCTGGTCCCGTAGAATTCGTTATAACCAGCTTTGACTGTATATATAATCATTTATAAATAAAATAAAATTTCCTTCGTTTATTGCATGAAGTAAAGACAGCTTAATTCCTAGTTTCAAATCTTGCAAATTTCCAGATCAATCCATTAAAAGTGAATCATTTATTATGAACAACACACAAACTCAATAACGCCATCTATTAGTCTGGACAACCATTATCCAAAACTCAGTATGCAATAGTTGTCGTATTAAAAGTCATCTCGAGGTGCGGTACCAATACAAAATCGGTTTATTCATGACGTTTTTCTTTCGAGGGACGACGGGGGTTTTCTTTTGAAAATGTTTTTTCACACAAATTGATTATAGTTTATATAAATATATATAATGTAATATATCGATATACATGATGATCTCATCAAAATGCTGAATAAAATGACTCTAATAATCTTCAATATAAAACAAACCAGATTAAAAATACCTTATCGGTGATATTGTATAAACCAGTCTAAATTTACTAATACGTGAATTCAATAGTAATATTCATGCACAAATTGAGAGTAATACATTCAGGGTGAACGTCTAATTCAACGTGATATTTGGTATGGCATAATAGAATCAAGATGGAGGATAGCCTGAGCTGTAACTGCCATGTTGATAAGGTGATGGAGGATATGCACCTTGCTGAGGATAAGCGGATGGGGGATAGGCATTAGTCGGTGGATATCCAGACGCAGGTGGATACCCAGACGCAGGTGGATATCCATTATTAAATGCGCCAACTGGAGTAGGTTCTGGAGTAGGAAAAGCAATGGTAGAAGGAGGTGATGAGACCGGAGGCGAAACAGAGGGAGGTGATGAGATTGGTGGATATGGTGCAACTGGAGGATAAACGTTTGGCTGCGGCGGATAGGGAGCCGTTATAGGCTAGACATATGAATATAGATGGGAAGGGAGGAAAAAGTCAGTTGAACCAGAATCCATAGCATTAATCAGAGAGAAACTGAGCTAAAAGTGCCCATTTCGATATTCATCATTATACTTACAGGCGCCGGCGGATAATATGATCCTTGACTAACGGGTTTGTTTGGTGGGTAGTTCAATGTACTCTGAGGTTGCGGCGGTGGATATCCAGCAGCAGATACTGGTGGTACAGGCGCGGGTGGATATGAAGCGGGGGGAGAAGAATAGCTCGGCGGCAATGTTGAATGAGGACGTTGTGGGGGTGGAGACGCTTTGGGTGGCAGTTTTTCTGGTTTCCTGACTTCATTAGTAAGTCCTGCTGGCTTGGAAGGCGGTGGAGGAGCACTCTGATAGTATTCATATATAAAAGTTATCACAATCACAAGGATTGTTTGATTAGTATTATTCCAAATGCTTTGTAGAATCATTGAAAATTCGCTTACATACAGCACTATAGAATGTCATCTCTAGAAATATTTCACCAGCGAATTTTTTTTTCATCATTTTCAGTTCATACCAATCTAACGAGAGAAGATAAAGGTGATATTAGAATCGGATTATGACACCATAAGCATCGGTACAAGTAAAAGTGATAATACATATATACTCTGTCAAATCATTTACATCGTTACTCGGTTACTCGAAAAGTTTATCTACATCCCGTGTTGCCCTTGCTTACTCACCATCACACTCGCCTTCGTTTATTACTTTATTCAAATCAATGGTAGCTTCGCCAATCAAGTCATGCTCTCTCTTATCTTCATCATACACTTGTACCTTGAGCGTCTTGTGAGTTGAATCGTCCAAGATCTGAAACCTGACTTCATCGTCCCATTCTGGATGCTGACCACCGCGCTTGTCAGTACGAGTCCGCTTTGCGTTGTTAGCAACTCTGAATGTGGCAAATGGATCGGCTTTGCCTACGCCAGGATTTGCTAAATGGCGCTAGATAGAAGGAAAAAGATGGATCGTAAGAAAAAGTATTAACATGTCTGAGAATCAATCTCTAAAGATGGTGGTTAATCAGGGTAAATTAAATTTTCGCCTTTAAAAACTGCTGCAAAGTATAGCGGTATCCGCATTGAATGGTATGTACATGTATGTATTATGTTTTGTGTGTGTATGTGAAAAAAGTCATCGTATTTACTATTATCTTGCACTTTTAATGAATGTCGAATAGTAGTACTGTCTTGTGTGTGTAGATGCTTGCGTTTGTTTTGAACAGTGAGGCGCTAGTCGTAAACGATACTTACCGCTTTGACAGCGATAATAACGAGTTCCCCAAGTGTCTTGGCAGAGGGCTTTTTAGACATTCCACTTATAGTTCTGATACTCTTGTTATGTAGTCTAGCCTAAGAAAAACCGGGTTGTTGTCGAGTTGCTTTTCTTGTAGATTGAAGTCTGGTGTCCTACTGTTTCTACTATTTCGGTCACTGTTGTCTATTTATTTCTTTTCCATTCAAATTGAACGCAGAAAATTAAACCAGATTTTCAAGCCACAAAAATGAACATGGCATACATTCTGGAAGTGGCTGAATATGCAGTGACAAATCAAACATCCGAATTCAACACAACAATTGAAAATTACATCGCCTACTTGCTTATACGAGATGATCTAGTTACCATATTAAGAAAAGAGTCACAAAGCCCTTGCTTTTAATAAATCTTTAAAATTATTAAGATTTGTAAGCGGCCCAACTTTATTGTAAATCGAATGTTACAAGTCCCTAATCTAATATTAACGACGAAAGAACCGCAAATCATCTAGTTGTACAGCAGGCAATGTAATAACAAACAAACGATTAAATAAACCCAGTGCCCCGGTTCTTTAGAATATCAATCACAAAGGGCTAAAGCGTATATAACAACCTCAGTCAAGGAATCAACTACAAAGATTATAGGCTTTGTAATAACAACTCTTTCTGCGCGAAAAGAGCAGACACGCGTCCGAGAGAGTTGAGCGAGTAGAACATTGGCTGTAGTAGAGAATTACTCGCTAATACAATCACGCAAATCTTATTCAATTTGTCAGAACGTTTGTGGCTTAAACTCGGCGCATACTAGCCATAATAATAATGATAAGCATAATATCGATATGCCGATACCGGGTTGTGCCTATTTGGGTAATCAATCAAAGTTGCTAAAATTAGCGATCACTGCAAACAGTATTTACGGATAATTGCCAGTGTGCTATTTATATCATTGTTTCTGCTACAGCCTCAAACATGCAAAGTAAATAAACAAATCTTTCCATGTTACAAACATCCACATTTTCTCACCAAGCTTCACCTATCTTTAACCATTTCCTCACCCACACTTATTCAAGACGATGATTTGACTAAACTGATACTGTAATCTAATTTGGCATCATAGCCGAAAAATCAATTATCACATGTTTAGAACAAGTATTTCTAAATTAAGATGTAAAAGAATATGACACTGATAGTTGTTGCATGCAATCTGGCATCTAGCGTGAACAATGCAATACTTAAAGAACTTTGAACCGCACTTCACAAGACATTGTAAAAATATTTAACAGTTTTCTTTAAATTCATTCGTCGTCAAAGATAGACATGTTTCGAAGAACTACATTGGGTTTGATCAATATAATAAAGCTGACCTTGCATCGTCCGCTGAACAGCTTTCACAAACGCTACTTGCATCTGGAATGACAAGAACGTCTTTTGATTCTAAAATTTCGGGTTCGCAACTTTTGCGTATGTTAATAATAATATTTCTACTTTGTTACGCGATCAATATATCTGAATCATCTTCTGTGAATATCTGATGTATCCTCTTTGACAATGCTGGCCCAACTGTACGAAAGCGACGACTCAGTCCAACCGTAGGAACCTATAATAATAGTCATATAATAGTACCACATCCCAATTACACACAAAGATGCGCGAGCATCATACATAAATATCTACACAACTCACTTCGATATCAGCCAACAATAATTCCCTCTGCTCGTGCGTATTACATTGACGATACGCATCATAAAGACAACTAACAGTGGGATATCTCTCTACAATGGAACTCGCGACCGGATGAGTGACAAGTTGAATTTCTTCGAGCATGCGTATCCAAGCATCACGACTATCAGTGCCAGCACGAACTTGACCTTCGATACAGACATTCAGATCAAGATTCTTATTCCTTTGAACAAATGGAAAGAGAGAGAGAGAGAGAGAGAGAGAGAGAGAGAGAGAGAGAGAGAGAGAGAGAGAGGATATGTACAATTTACCGTGTTCAGTGAATAGCCGCTAAATCAAGCACAAAGTATCAACGGTGCGTTCCACGCTTACTTGTATGGAATTGTGGCAATATCGGTAGTTAATATTCCAACCATTTCGGCCGTTTCCTTTTCATTTTTAGTGTGGATAACAAGACATCTTGCAACCAATTGCAACCAAATCAACTCTTCCTGGACAAGTGCCTCATCTATTCGCACGTCAACGCTACGCTTTCTTCTTCTACTGGGTGTATTTTCATCTGTTCCCATAGCATTCCGGACTGCATCTGCAAATTCACGATTACGCTTTTTGGCACTTTTCTTCATGTAATCGTCCATGCCTTCAATAAGCAGCAGTAATTTTTTATTTGCAAATGACCTTTGTAGCCCATTGCAAAACGCGTGAAGAGTTGCATCAGAGACCATTTTCGCGAACGATTGCATTGGTTGATACACCAACACGTGAGACTCTTGTTCTATTTTCTCCAGAATAGGGGTATATGCTTCAATGATGGGATCATATCGAGTGGTCACGCGTCTACTCCAAGTAATTATATTAGGAGTTGGGTAATTCAAAGATTGGATGGTGACTTGCTTCTCTAGAAGAATACTTTTGATGAGTCGACCGATCGGGCTATCAAGAAAAGAGGATTCCATTTCGACAATCATTTCACGCATCATTTCCTGTTTATCGGTTTTCAGCTTGTTGGCTTGTCTCAACTCTTTTATTCGTTGCTTCTCTGCATCACGTTCTGCCTAACAATGAAGAATCGCAGTAAATGGAATATATATAGATATTTGACTCGCATCAGACGTACGCTTCAAATGAGTACACATACTTTCTGTTGTAATCGCTCCAATCTTTTCTCTTCTTTTTCACGTTCCTGCAATAAATCACCGAATAAACTCTTCTGGGATCAAGACGAAAATACAAACGTCATAATCATCATCAGACCTTTATCAACTTTTTTGTTTCCCTGGCTGATCGAGCAGTACCTCTTGGGACGCTTCGAGCACTGCTCGCTGCCATTAGCTGGACATTGTTAATAGCAGACTCTATGTTGCTAATCTGGGACATCAGGTCATCCACCCTGCTTAAAAAGAAATAATGGTGTCAAAAAAGATGCGTCTTTAAGATGCGGCCTGTTGGTGAAATGGATAACACACAGGGTTTTCATCCCTGCATAATGGGTAGCCAAAATTTTCTATCATCTGCATAATTGCCGCGTTTTAAGATGCGCCTTTACGATGCGCCTTTGCGATGCACCTTTACGATGCGCCTTTAAGATGCGGCTTTACGATGCGGCTTTACGATGCACGATATGGCTTTTCAGATAAACCTTAAAATTACTCACTTGTTCTGATTCCAGCTCGTATTACCATGGTTTCCTTGAAACAATGACTTCAATAGTACTAACTGCCATGTTACTTATCACAACACATTAGTGCGAGTATTGCTCGTACCTTGTAAATAGCTTTGATTAATCTGAACGCTGTCGTTATGAATGCCTGTCGATTGATCCTCGTCATCGTCGTCGATGCAAATAATTTCCGGATTGTTTGAATTGCTGGGCTGTTGCAGCAAATCTATGCTTGATCCACCACCGAAATACAAAGATGGATCGAGAGACGTTCCCTTCAAAAACTGCAGACTGAATGTGATTAGCATGGCTTTAAAATACAGATATTACTAACATCACACATCAAATATATAACTGGGGAAACCTATTACTATGTTATCCAGTCATTTTAGAATAGCAGACGAGTAATTGTGTTTCTGTCAATGGACGTTGTCTATTACCTCCCCATCCAGTATTCTGTTCATCGTTACTGCAGCGCTACGCGTCCTGGCTAAATCAATAAGTATTTCGTTTAATGCTTTATCAGTAAAAACAGCGCTTACTTCTTCGGCCATAGAGCGTAATTCTTCGTCAGTAGACATTGTTGGTTCAGAGATTGGTGAATGACTGAGCGAATGGAGTTTATAAATTGCGCGAATTTAAAAGAGAGACTAGTAGCGTTAGCCTGCACAAACATGCATCGGTGCATTGTCGCGACAGCGAATGACACGTTAAATTGATCGTATGATGGATTTTTTCGGAGATCATGTGATAGCAAGTCTTGATGTTGATAACAAGAATTATGATATTAGATATCGATATTAATATTAGATGTTACTTTGATTATAAATATATGTTTATTGTTAAACACTAACAGTTATATAGTGATATTAATATCGTTAAATCTTAATTGTTTACTTTTTTGAAATTAGCAATCCAGCTCTTTGTGACATGTAAATTATCGAGTAGGGAAGGCCATCCCCAAAATTCGGGAAAAGTTTTATTTTAAACGTTAGCAAAAAAATTCGAGTTTAATAAAAACGACTTTCTTCTTGCAAAATAACATTCTCCTTGAGAAATCAGTTTCAAAGGAAGAAAATGGTTTTCTTACATGTTGGTTTTATTTTTGCGACGTGAGAATTTAAGAGTGACATGCTAAAGACCCCCAGGACTTGTTACAGTACTTTCAAATGCCATAGTCGTCCTATTCTGTATAGAATTAGTCAAGCATTATCTCGTAATTTGTGCCAAAAACTATATTAATATTAGTTGGCGGGGCGTTTTATAAGATGGAATGCTCATAACTGACAATCGATAATAATACAGTTTTATACCAGGAAAAAGGTTTATCATTTTCGGACCGCACTCTCGGTTTGATGCTCGATTGGTGCGTGTACAAGTTAATTCTGGATATACGTTTAAACATTGTAGGATTATCCATGGCACACGTCAGGGTCAGTCAAAACTGAGACATGTCATACAACTATCCACGTATGCTCTCTCGCATATATCTGTGTACGCGTTCCATGTGCTAGACAGAGACAACAAGTTTCTGACATGCCAGACTGTATCAAAAGTAAAATTTGGACGTCATTAGCGCGTGATGATAAAACGTAATAGTATTGTTATTACGGTATTCTTGTCGATCTACAAGATACATGAATATTCGGCAATTGAGCCAAAATAAGTAATCGAATCCCGCCTTTGAATATTCGCCATCGAATAATAACATCAACACAACAACAAACACTTGATGCAATCCCCACTATCATAATCAGAAATAACATCACCAACCGAATTTATTATCTAAAATTAAAGTTGCCATGCAGATTTGAAAGATAAACATACGGAATTTTTGGACAGGTTAATTCGCACGGTGCTGTTTATAATATGAAAAACTGTAGCACGACCTTGATTCTAGTAATGCGTCATTATACTCGTATTAGTTTACATAATTGTTCGGCCCCCTCCTGACTACGTTAGTCTCTTCATTTACGTCATTTCTTGTCCAACTCGTGTGAATATGCAATCTAGACTTTTGCTTCAACCACGATGCAAGTAGTTTCCTAGTGGCTACTCTTCTATTATTATTTATTATGCAACCGGAAAAATTATCATCCAAGCTGAAAGGGGGGGTGTGTTGGGGTGTCATTGTCCATTTCTGTTTCATCACGAATTGTGTGTGTTATTGGCTCACGGACACAAAGTCGTGGGCGGAATCTGTCTTTGTCTATCGGGTTTCTCAAGTGATACACTAAAATATTAAGGTTGATAATGACATAAACACAAAAAAGTTGTCGGTTTGTTAATCGTAAATTACAGTATTCAACACCCCTTCCCCCCCCTCTCCCCTCCTCTCCCCTCTCCTCTCCTCTCTTTTATATCACACATTTAAAAAGGCCAAATACGGTCAATTGGGACCAAAATATTTTATCAATCAGATTTCGGGATGTTTGATTAGTAAAACTGGGCATGCTCATGTCAAACAGAACCAACTTTTGGGAATAGTGCATCAATTATAGTCAGTTACTGTATTAGTATGGGGATTTCGGAAAATAAACAAAATAATGATAAATGAATGAGATAAGATAGTCCAACTGATATTCGAGTTTTTACTGATCTACCTTTGCGATGTTCCTACTGGTTCGCATTATACAAAAAAAGATGCTAAACAAGCTTCTATTCAGAGATGGTGCATGCATGTGTCTCAAGTTGAGCACCCCGTAATTGGAAACAGAAACACTAACCATAAATGCATTAGCAAAGCAATTTCCTTTTCTTAGTAATAAGCTTTGAATAATAATAATGGCTTCCCTTTTTTTTTTCTTTCCTCCCCTATAATCTCACAACTTGTGGCCTGATCAGACCCACAGATCGTCAGACAGGTTCCACTTGATTACAAGGACGACTCTAAACAAATGCGGAATTTCATATCTTGTGGCCCAAACAAATGCGGCCATTAAACATCGGGTGAATCTATACCCGACTTGGGGAAATTGAAGAGAGAAAAAAAAAAAAAGAGCCCTTTTCTATTTTTTTCTTTTTTTTTTTTTTTTTTTTTTTTTTTTTTTTTTTTTTTTTTTTTTTTTTTTTTTTTTTTGAATAATACGACGGTCTTTTAACACACACGAATAGTTAAAACCACTCTCTTTTGCTCC